CTCATTAGAAACATTCTGCTCAAAATACTTTAATGGCTTCCTGCTATACTTAGGTTATCCATAGTCTTTATGAAAAATCTTAAATACCTTACAGGACCTAGTCCCCGTATGTGGGGTGGTACCTTCTACCAATCTTTTTTTTTTTGAGATGAGATCTCAGTGTGTTGCCCAGACTTGGCTTGGACGGGCTATCCTCCTGCCTCAGCCTTTCAAATAGCTGGGATTACAAGCATGCATCACTGAGCCTGGCTTTACCATCCTTCTTTAAAACTGACATTCATGCCACTCAGTCCATAGTGGCCCACTTGGAGATCCTTAGCAAATCACTCTCACTGCAGGCCCAGATGCCTCCTCATTACTATTCTCTTGGGCGTCTTCAAAACCTGCCACACCACATCGTGGACCCACATCCAATATTTCATGGGTGAGTGACGAACCCCCACAATCTCTGAAAAGCCAACACTCTCTGCTTTCCAAAGTAGTTCCCATGCTGCATCGCTTGAGCCACCCTTCAGTTCTCTCGACCTCCTCAGTCACTTCAATCCAAGTCCTCCATTCCTCTCTGACAACAAGTTTACAGCCCCCGATAGACTGTGATATTTGTATGTTTATATACTGAAATTCTGCTGGTCCTTCCATCCATGCTTGCAGTCCTTCTCTATGTCCCCAATCATTTCTGTCTTCTGTTTCCTACAAAAATCAATTTAAGTCTTGAATATTTCTTTCACCTTCCTGGGGGTGGGGGGGCATTGTATGAACTTTGCCTCAAGTTACTTTACTCACTTCAGGCCTTGAGACATAGATGGTATCTCAAGCTCATCCATACTTTCCCTTTCAGCTGTGATCTGCACCTCGGTAATTTCCACATGTGCCCCGGATATTTTGCTTCTTTTCAAGAAAACACTACTGCAAGGGTTACTCTTCTTCCACCTGCATTTTCTGTCCCTTCTGTTGGCTTGCCTGACTCTTACACATCTGGTGTGTTTCTTTCCTCTTTGAAATTCCCATGGTTCATCCATTATCTATGCCTCTCTAAATGTTTATTTGTGCTTTCTTTATATTTTAGTTCTCTCTTAGTTTAAATTAATCATCCTCACTAAACAGGGCTTCCTGAGGCAGGGTCTTTGACTCACTATATATATTAAATTTTGCTAAAATACATATAGTATAAAATGTAACATCTTAACAGTCTGAAGTCCATAGTTCATCAGAGTTCAGTACAGTCACAATCTCCAGAATTCTTTTCACCTTTCAGAACTGGAACTCTGCACCTATTGAACAACAAGCCCGCCTTGTCCTCTGGCCTAGCTGTTGGAAACCCTCCACTGTCCCTATGAATCTGATTGTGGTAGACATCTCGTAGAAGGGGTCATATAAGAGTTTTCCTTTAAGGACAGGCTTATTTCATCCAGTACAATGTCTTCAAGGCTCACGCACGTTGCAGTATGTCTGGATTTTCTTTCTTCTTAAGGCTGAATGATGTTACATTGTGTGAATAGACCACGTTGTGCTCCTTGGTTCTTCTCTTTGTTAATAGACACTTGGGTTGTTTCCATCATTTGTTTATTGGGAATACTGCTGTACTATACATGGATGCACAGATAACTCTTGGAGATCCTGTTTTGAATTTGGGGTCATATACCAGAAGTGCAACTCCTGAGTCATACGGTAATTCTAGTTGGAGTTTATTGAGGAAGCACCATTTCATTTTCTATAGTGGCTACATCATTATATATTCTCAGTAGTGTATGCAGGCTTTAATTTCTCCAAATACTTGTCAAGACTTTTTATTTTCTGCTTTTGTTATAGTAGCCCTCATAATAGATGTGAGGTGTTATTTCATTGTGATTTTGGTTTGCATTTTCCTAATGTAGTAATGTTGAGCACTTTTTCATGTACCTGTTGGCCTTTTGCTTGTCGCTTTCTGGAGGAATATCTACTGAAGTCTTTTGACTTAAAAATTGGATTGTTTGATTCTGTTGCTGTTGATTTTGTTCATCTTTGAATCTCACATAACATATACTCCATTGAAATGCTCCACTTGGGGAAACTGAGGTTAGTCAACTAGGGGCGTCTCAGGGTTTAACACAGAGGCACTAGACATCGTAAGCATATAGTCTGAGTTCTTGGGTGGGTTTTAAGTACATTTGAGACCCAATCTAACCCTCCAAATAGCAACCTTAGAAAAACTTCACAAGGATGCCATCTGAAGAAGACTCAAGTTCAATACACATTTGTCTATGTCAGGTTTTAGGGCCTCATCCCAAAAGCCACGTGAGGTGGCTTTGTAGAAGAAAATACATTTTTGTCCTGAAATCAGAGGGTCTGGAAAATTTGGAAAAATAGATTTCAGCCTTGTGGTGTGGACATTACCCCCAAGACTCAGGAGAACAAACCAAAAATGTCTGTGGGTCAGTTTTTCATTCAGTAAACATCTACCCGGTGCCTGAGAGCCACGCACTTGGTTAGGGAGGCAGGAGTAGAACAGCAGCTCTGTCAAAGTGAAATCAATTCAGTCTGTCCCTGGAAAATTCCTAGGCAAGAAGTATTAAGACACTAGATGCAGAAATGGGAAAATATTAGCCATTAATCTGTGCCTCCTGCTCTCGTCTTTTCAATAGGAGAACTTTTGCTTTGATTTCCTTCGGTGCCAATGTAGGTAAAAATTATAAAGGATAATTAAACTGTTGTGTTGGAAATGGTGAGAGAAATTAAAAAGTAATTTTCCTTTATTACTTAAAATATCTGTGATTATATCAATTGTTGCTTCTCCTCACCTGTTGTTCAAATGATTGTCTCAGAGACTTGACCATAACTGGATTATAAGAGGACTAAAAGAAATAACATTTGAAATCCTCTAACAAAGTCAGAGTAGCTCTTGTGGTTTTTCTTTCCTTTTGTCTTCTCCCCCTCCCTTTTGGGGTCTACTCACAAAAAAGAGATTACTAAGCGAATTAATAAGTAAGCAGGAAAAAGGTAAAGCACTATTTTATTCAATAGCGAACGCATTTAGCAGCGGGACTCTATTCACACAATGACTTCGGTAATTATAAATGAGCCTCATGCAGCATTTAAAGCATTTATAAGACTCTCAGCAACCTTAGAGTTCTTTCCCTTTTCCACTTGTAGCAACATGACTGCAGCCTTCAGAGGGAAAGAACAACATTGCTTTAAAATGTCCTAGCAGTCAAACTAATCTGATGAAACGCCCTAAAGCTCTCATAGGCAAGGGAGAGCTGGAGACCATGGCACCCAGGGCCTTTCAAGATCTGCCTTCTGCCTGTCTGCACACCCTGAGTTCCTGCAACTCTGCCCTGCACAGTGTGGTGCAGCCACGGCAGCCTCCTTATAGTCCCCCCAGCAGTGCCCTGGGCCCATGCACTGGCCTTTCTGCATCTTCATCTGAGGACTTTCTGATTGTCTTTTGTAATGCAAACCTCATTGCCTCCTCTGCGTCACATTTTCCAACACCTGAAAGTATTTTTCTCTCTCTGTCTCTACTAAATTCCCATGGCATTCTCTCAGAAGCATTAAAAGTTTGATCACATCAAATGACAATGATGCATTCACAAGGTCCTCCCAGACAACTGTGAGTTCCTAGAAGACAGGGGCAGAAACTGACTTATCTTTTAACCTTCCTGCTTAACCCTAAGTCCCAGACATAGTTCTGCATCCAGTAGACAATTTGTGAATATTGAACCAAAGCTATGGTCATGGTCAGGAAGGCTAAATGATGGTGAGGTCTAATGGACAAAGCATAAAAATGATGGAAACTCTGGAGTGAAGAAAAGTGAAATAGAGATTAGGAAAAAGGGGCAATAAGAGAAAGTGGGACTAGAGCAACCTAGGAAGGAAATGTGGGAACAAAGAAGTGAAGCTTAGATGCTGGGAAGCAAAGTAACATTAGAAGGGGAATGCAGGGCATCTGAAATCAGGGCATTTCAGAGGCTCCTGTGTACCTACTTTCCCTTGGAGCTACAGAAGGAGAGATGAGGCAGGAACCAGTCTGTTGCTCTGAGTGAGGCCTTTGCCTTTGGCTGGAGTCTGTCCTGCTGCCTCGCTACCCTGGTGCAGATCCAAGCATTATCTCTCTTATCTCTTCTCCGAGTCTGCATGAGTGCAACTGTATGGGAACATGGGACCACTTGTGTATGTCAGCTTCCTCATTGCATGACTAACATATATTACTCTGTGAAATAAGCCCAAAGGACAGTGCAAATCCCCAGCTCACTCTCCCTTTGCCGTCATTTCCATTACGCTATGGGGAGGCGGTGGCTCCTACCTACAGCCTGGCAAAGTGGAAAACCATGGTGAACTCCCAAGTTTGCTGAACACATCTACACCGCACAAAGGGTGGGGTGGGCTTGGAGTGATGCATGTGAACGTACCGCAGTATTTATTGTATCTTTACGACAAAGTGACTTTTCAGACGCACCCAGCTGGCTTCCTCACAGGAGATGTGCCACTTTATGGTTGCAGCCCTTTGGAGTTATTTCTTGGGTAACCAAAAAGGGTCTCATGCCTGTAGAAAGCAGCATAGTACAGCTCTGGCTAAAAGTCAGGCCTGGATTGCAAGCATGGGCTCTGCCATTTAGTCTGAGGCTGGGTTTTCTCATGTCACCGATGTCACAGGGTTGCTGTGAGGATCAAGTCACATGATGACTAACGCCACACAGTTTGCTGGTGATTCTTACCACCTTTCTCTCATCTGATCCTCTCAGCAACCTGCCAATTATTTTGATCCTCATTTTAGAGATGAAGAAACTGAAGCTCCAATAGGAAAAATGACTTAGCTGAAGCCACCTGGCTAGTAAGCCAGGATGATGCAAGTTTCCCATTTTCAAATGCATCTTCAGTTATCCCTAGGCACAAACCTGCCTACTTAGTGGCTTAACTTCCCTTGTGACTCCTTCCTCCTGCAGCCTCTGGAGGTACTCTGTGTAATGAATTAATTGGTTTTTGTTCTGTTCTCTCTTCATTCCCTTTTTCCCGGCCTCTAGGAGAAAACGCCAGCAACTCCGACCCAGAAAGCGAGCACCACCTTCAACATTGTGGGGACGACCTATCCCATCAACCTGGCCACCAAGGAAACTGAGTTCTCCACCATCTCCAAGGGCGCTACTTCCAGTGCCTCTTCGACTCCGACCATCATCGCTTCGCCCAAGGCCACTTTTGTGCAGGACAGCCCAACTGAGATCAAGACCTACAACAGTGTCAGCAAAGTTGACAAAGTCTCTCGCATCATCTTTCCCGTGCTCTTTGCCATATTCAATCTGGTCTACTGGGCCACATATGTGAACCGGGAGTCAGCTATCAAGGGCATGATCCGCAAACAGTAGGTAGTCGAGGTGGCAACCAGAGCACTGTATCCCCATGAAGCATCCAGGCACCCAGCCTGGGGCTCCCTTTAGTAGGTTTCAGGATTCTTCTTTTCAACCCTCTTCCTAGCTGTGACTCTCAACTCAATTCACATTTATGAATATCAGTGAAAAAATAGCAACAGAAAATGACTCGCCCCTCTGACAAAGGCCGACATGACCATTTTCCAAGGCTGGGAGGGATGAGAAAGTCACCTCCCTACCAGGGCAACCAGTCACACACTGGATGGGGTAGGAAGGGTGGGTAGTAGTTGGGGATTCAAATCTAGCTCAAAACAAAAGATCACTAGCAGGTGAATAGGCAAACGCACCCTTCCCTGTCCCCTCCACTCCACACCTTTGCCCAGGCCCAGGCATTTGGGTCCCACCGCATCAGGGACGTCTGGTCCTGTGTGGTTGATGACAGTGCTTGAGAGGAGTGACTTGGAGATTCATACAGATATCTCTAGTCAGCTTTTGAGTCAACTAAATCATTGAATTTGTTGCCAATTCTATACCGAATTATGTACAGGCCATTTGATTTCACTTGTTCTTAATGTGAGTAGAAGTGATAGGATAAATACCAAAATTTTATAAGGTAAATACACTGAGTCACAGAAGTTTGAATAATTTGCCTAGGCCCCTTATACGTGGCTTTAATGAACAACGGCCATGCACCCCTTTCCAGTGGCCAAAATGAAGAAAGAACTGAGGAGCCACGTCCAGTTGGACCTGAGAATCAGCCCCATCTCAGCGGGCCTTCTGGGCCATAGGGCACCGAGAGTCTTTAGAGAGTGGCGGTGTACACTTCTAACAGCCGTGGCTAAACGGAACGAGAGCCCCAGCCACTCCGGATCTGAACCTGTGCACAAATCCAGAGAGTCTTACATGTCCAAGGCAGGGCCACAGGTGGCACTGAGAGCAGATTCTCCCTGGCCATCCGCTGAAGCAAACCCACTGAGGGGGTATCCTTAGCTGCTGGTTGCCTTTACACCCATCCTTCTCTGATGCCCTGCTTCCTCGCCATTGCTGGGATAATGCATGCCAGTCCCATTTTCCTAAGACTGTGTAGGTAAATTCTTGAGTAGAAGAGTGTAGTTTTGTGGATACGTGGGGATGGGGGTGGGTGGGCGGGGCTGTAAATGATTGTCTTAATGAATTTAGAGTGGACGCCTGATCTTTGCTTCTCTGTACAAATTGTGTTTCCAAATGCTTTGGTGCAATGTTTAGTGGCTATTTATTAAACCCTTTCTGAATTGTATTTGGGCTGGAGAACTTTTATTGGCCACTGCCTAACACGGGCTGTACTCTGTTGTTGACTTTCACCCCCACCCTGGTGCCACACTTGCTTTCCACTTCTTCACGGCACTCCAGGACGTTGGAAGAAAGGTCTCTCCAAGCAGCCATTCAAAATGGAGCCCTGTAAAAAAGGCTCTGTGTGAGCATTCGGGAGAAGGAACAGCTAACTTCACCGACTCCCAGGAAACAAAGGTGTTTTCACTGCACTTCTAAGGTGTTCCTCATGTCCATTGGTTTCTATTTCCCTTAGGCAGTAATTATCAGGAAGAATGAGGGTGAGTGTCTGCTTGATGGAGCCATGTGTCAGTAAGTAGATGATAACCCCTTTCCTTACAAAAGTAGGAGAAATCTGGAAAATAATCTCATGAGATTTGCTTGAGGAAATCACCTGGCTTCGAAGGGATGGGACAATCTCCTTGGGAGAGCATTTCAAAAGATTTGCTTGTCCAAAATCAAGGAAAGGACTCAGACAATCTGACCCCCAAGATTCACATTCCTCCCTGTGATCATCTGATGGATGTTCTACAACTGCAGTAATCAACTCACGGCCCCAGAGCAACCAAGCCAGGGGCATGGCAGGAGGTAGTGTCTTTCTAAACCTGCCTGACAGCAATATGTAAGTGTTGTCCTTTTCTTAAGACCTTTCTGAATCCAGTTTGCATCTGAAACGATTCCCTTAGTCTTAGGGGAAAGCCCAAGCTGTTTTTCTGCTGCTGAGCTCCTTTACTGTTTGAAACCCTGGCCCAGGCTGGGACCAGTACCTGAGGGCTGCAGTATATTAGGATATTAGAGAGAGAAAGAGAGAGA